CCATCTCTCTCTGGCGGTAGTCGTAGCTTCCTATATAGCCGTTCCCGAGTAAACAAAGTCGTTCGACGAATCGAAATCGCGCGCGCGACACCGAGGCCAGAGAAAAAGAAGCCATTCGCGAATCGTTCCTCCGGATAAAAGGATGCGTATCGGTACCAGAATAGAAGCATTGGCTCGAACTACGCGTTCGTTAACGTTGCACAATTCATGTTCGGTAATGGATGGTCCACTGGGGTTAGTTTCACGTTTAAAACAAGAGGGAACGTGACAACCACTGCCACGTTGCCCTTGCACTTCCAACAATCGCGCGTCGATCAAGCGGTCGGTTACCAAGCGTTGCTGCCACTGCATTGTTTCGATCGAATTCTACTATACGCGTATATGTCCATATCACGGTTCTTCTCCCACTAGCTACCGACTAATGTAAAGGTTTCGTGCCCTATCGCCACGCGTGTACAAAACACGAGACTCTACATCTTCGCACTTCGATCCTGACCGCGTTACAAGGCCGCTCTCTGTTTTCCTCTAATCACTTTCACAAACGCGCGCCCCTCCGTCGGGCTCAGTCGGTAAGATCGATCCCAGTCGTAGCTTTGGCACCGAGCGAAGAATTACGCTCGCGTCAACGCCGAAAAACCGAAGTTTCCATGTACACATTCGGATCATAGGTGCACATGTATACATATACACACAGGAGACGCGCGCTCGAGCTGCCTGTGACAACGACCTTGATCTCGAATTCGCGTTCTCTCGTTCTCTTTCATTCTCTAGCTTTCTCTCTCTAGCTCTCACTCTTTCTCGCTCGTTCGTTCAAGAGGGACAAGGAACAAGTGGGCAGCGCAGCTTCGAGTAGCTTTCCTTTGATGCAGTAATAACGTAGTTAAGCAGAAAACCCATACACACACATACACACACGCACTGTATCGTGATGACACTCACGCACTCATACATGTATACACGTACACGCATTCGCAGTCGTACTTCTGGCAGAGCGTTGAATCGTCGCTTCTCTCACGAACGAATATCCCTCTTCTCGCTGTTCCTCGCTTCATCACTCTTTCACTCTTTCTCCCTCTGGCTTGCTCGTCACCTTCTTCCTCGCACTCACTCGCGGTATACACACCGTACAGACGTAGGCCAAGCGAACAGGAACGAACGAGCGTACGAACGGACGGACAGGTCGAGCGAAGAGAGGTCTAGCGGCGTCCGACAATGTTTTATCTTGATTAACAAATGCTGATTGTTGTCGCCAGTGTATTGAGTGCGCGCGATGCCGGGGGGTATCGTTGACCCCTCTCGACACGACTGAGAAACAGAAGCAACGCGCGAAAGGAGAACGAGAGTGGTCGTGTGTTTAGAGAAAGAAAGAAAGAGGAGGAAGAAGAAGAAGAGTGTATGAAGAGAAAAGGATCCACTCGCCTGAACAGTGTTGCGTTTGAGGAGCCGTGGTTGCAACTGCCCGCAGTAATAGTCGTCAGCTGACTTCGACTGGCTGGCTGGCTGGGC